ACAGCTACAGTGTACTCATAAGTAAAATAAATAAATCTTTAAAAAAAAAAAAAGAACATGTTAAAAAAAAAGAGAGAAAGTATGAAAAGAGGTATAGGAGAGAAAATTACAGTATAAAATGATCAGATTATGTATAATGACTGACTAGGGCTGGAGAGATGGCTCAGCGGTTAAGAGCACTGACTACTTTTCCAGAGGTCCTGAGTTCAATTCCCAGCAACCACATGGTGGCTCACAACCATCTGTAATGGGATCTGATGCCCTCACATACATAAGATAAAGAAATTAATCTTTAAAAAATATTTTTTAGCCGGGCGGTGGTGGCACACGCCTTTAATCCCAGCACTTGGGAGGCAGAGGCAGGCGGATTTCTGAGTTCGAGGCCAGCCTGGTCTACAGAGTGAGTTCCGGGACAGCCAGGGCTACACAGAGAAACCCTGTCTCGAAAAAAACCAAAATAAATAAATAAATAAATAAATAAATGTTTAAAAAATGACTGTGGCCAAGCGGTGGTGGTGCACGCCTTTAATCCCAGCACTTGGGAGGCAGAGGCAGGCGGATTTCTGAGTTCGAGAGTTCGAGGCTAGCCTGGTCTACAGAGTGAGTTCCAGGACAGCCAGGACTACACAAAGAAACCCTGTCTTGAAAAACGAAAAAAAAAAAAAAAGACTGTGACTGAAAGCAGCCCGGAAAACTTCAGGCCCAGCTCTGCACACTTCAGTTCTAAGTGCCCATGGCATTGGTTTCCTGTGAATTTCAACTGCTACTTTAATCTGGTCCTTCTTTGTGTTCCTTCTTTTCGTGATTGTATCTTGAAGGCATCTATGATCCCTAATAAACAGCCAGTACGTTAAACTTCTGCTCAGAATATGATTTCCGTAGAAGGCACCTTGTGACGGCAATTATTTTTCCTAATTTCCACATGCCAACTAATTTCTGTGGTTTGAGGCCAGCCTAGTCTACATAGTAAGTTCCAGGATAGCCACAGCTACATAGTGAGACCCTGTCTCCAAAAACAAAATAGAACAAGACACAACAAACAAATAAAAACAGTTATTTTTCTGGGGCTCCAGAGATGGCCGAAGTTAACCCTTGCTGCTGTTTTAGAGGATGGCGGTTTGGTTCCTAACACCCACATGGCTTATGATCATCTGTAACCTGAGCTCAAGAGGCTCCAAAACATGAAATAAAAATAAAAAAAATATCAAAAATATCTAAAATAAAGAATTATTTTTCCTAAATACTCAACTTGATTAAGGATGTACACTTACAGCCGGGCAGTGGTGGCACACGCCTTTAATCCCAGCACTTGGGAGGCAGAGGCAGGTGGATTTCTGAGTTCGAAGCCAGCCTGGTTTACAGAGTGAGTTCCAGGACAGCCTGGGCTATCCAGAGAAACCCTGTCTCAAAAAAAAAAAAATGTACACTTACACAAGAATTTAGAATTTTATTACATCATGTTTTCTTTTTTTTCTTACGTCATGTTTTCAACTACAGTATTAAATTCATGCAATAATAAAAGCAACTCTAAGATAGTGTATGACCTGATTTATATAAAATGTTCAATGAAAGCAAATCTATGGAGACAGAAAGTAGATTAATAGGTGCCAGGAACTGGAAAAGAGGCTTGCTAATAGATATTGATAAAAAAAAGTATATTATATGATTAGAAACTGTGCAGAGTAACACAACCTTTTGAATATTCTAAAAATTGCCAGACTGTGTAGCGTGTTAAATTTGTGCTGGAGAAACAGCTCAGCAGTACGAGCTCTTGTTGCTCTTGCAGAGGACTTGGGTTTCTTTCCCAGCATGCACATGGAGGTTCACAACCTCCATAACCCTAGTTCCAGATGATCTAATTCCCTCTTCTAGCCTCTGAGGGCCCCAGGTATGCAAGTAGTGCACAGACACTCGTTCAGGCAAGACACTCAAACCTATAAAATAAATAAATGTTGAATTTTGATATGCTAATTGTATCTTCATTTTAAAATAAACTAAACATATTATCTGTAGTATTTTCTGTTCTTAGAGACAGAGTCTCTCTTATGGCTCACAACTGCCTCAAAGATGCAATCCTCCTCCTTCAGTTTCCAGAATGCTGGGATTATAGGTGTGGGCCACCATGTTTAGTTCTCTAGAATACACATGTATTTTTTCCTATTTTTATTTTTGCATGTGTAGGCATATATACGTGTTGGTGACCCAAAGTCATTGTTAGGAATTGTTCTTAGTTTCTCTTTTAGCTCATTCAATTTTTTTTTTTAGATTTATTAATTTATTTTACGCATGTAAGTACACTGTCATTTTCTTCGTTTGCTGAGGAAGGGTGTCTCAGCTGAACTCAAAGCTCACCAGTACACTGATCTCCACAGCCAGCTTGCTCTGTCTTTGCCTGTTGGACCTACCTAGTATTGTGTGCATTCTGGGATCTGAACTCTGGTCTCCACAATTACATAGCAAGTGCTGTAACCACTGAGCCATCTCCTCCTAGCTAGCAGCATGTAATTTTTTTTGACATAGTTTCTATAAATATTACACAACTGACACTTATCAGGTACCTTCTGGGACAGATGTAACCAGCAGGCACTGAGAGAGAGAAAAACAAACCCAGCAATACTGCATGGGCCTCGATTGTGTTTCCAACTCATGGAGAGATGGGTGTGGTTTTTACCTCCTATTTGTATTTCTTTAGAACATATGTTTGGGTTTGCCATTATGAACAATTATCGCTTCCATGAAAGCGTATTTGTTTAGCATCAAATTATCTCTGTGCATGGAGTGACTATGTAGTAAGAAGGTTGGACACACTTTAATTCTTCCTCCTGAGTAATTTGCAATCTGAAAGGGATGATTACACAGGAATTCAAATGAAGTCATTTTAGTTTAAAAGGTCATTTAGCAAATGATTATACAAACCTATCAGATTAAATGTTTGTATTTGCAGGGATGCTGGAGCCACACAATTTATACCACAGTTAGTCTGCATTAGGCTGAGATGAGAAAGGTTGACACCTCCCTCTAGTTAAGTCTGGAAACATTTCTCTCTGGCACTGGTTAAAGGACGAGAGGCAGTGCTAAACTCCACAGAGGAGGAAGAAAAGGGATTCCAAACTTACAGCACAGACAGAAGTAGAGGGTGGTATTTGGTCATTTGGGGACCTGTTCTTTTACTTCCTTCCTTCATCTTGGTGTTTAAGTGATTAACCTCCATTTCCACATTAGTAAAATGGGAGTGACAGTAATACAGTAACCTTGAAAATAAAATCACAGCCAGTTCTGGCATGCACCTTTAATTCCAGCACTCGGATGGAAGAGGCAGGTGGATCTCTGTGAGTCTAGACAGCCTGGCCTACACAGTGAGTTCCAGGATACCCAGGACTATGTAGCAACACCTAGATGCAAACCAAACCAAACCAAACTAAAACCAAAAAGCATGAAAATAAAATCATGTCAGGAAAAAAACCCCATATAATATATGGTACAACCCAAGTTAAGCATCGTACAAATGGTAGTAACCCTTAGTGTGAAAATTTAGAAGGGAGGACAAATACACCTGAACTCCCCCATTCAGTTTTTGAACATCTGAGATTTGGAACTCATTCTAGGGAGAAAAGGGGACACATCAAAAAGAGCCCAAACTAAGTTTCTTCTCTTTGAGTTTTTGACGTAATATATAGTCTCCCTTTGTTTTCTACAATCACTATTATTGTATTTGAGCATTTCCTTTTTCTTTGGTTCGCTCAGCTGACCACCAAGAGATCAGATCTTGCTGGAAAGAAAGTATTTGGAAAGTGGTACATTCTCCTACCCCATTCCTCAAGTTTTCCAAACCAAGTGAAAATGTTCAGATGTTCTGCTACCCAGGGCTTCAGTTCATCTGATGGCACCCATGTGCCGGTAAGACTGATATTTGTCAGCTACTCTTTATACCAGTATTACAGCTGCGCGATTAGCTCTTGCTGGAATACAGTGGAGATATAAGGGTGATTCCTACAGCCACCTGACTCAGTCCGTTAGGGTTTGCAGCTCCTAGAGATCACAAGTTATTCTAGAAACAAACCGTACGCAGTCCAGTCCTGTTCGTGAAAAGGAGTTTAATGATTACACTGAAAAATAAATTCGCATTCTGGATAACATTTTTAAGGCATGGGCCAGCAGTCCAGGGAGAGCTTGTAACTCCGGCACTATCCTTAACTCACTTAAAGGTACATGGTACAACCACAACCTATAGTGACTAGTCCAGTGGTTCTCAACCTGTGGATTTCTAGCCTCTTGGGGTTCCCTAAGACCATCGGAAAGCATAGATATTTTCATTACGGTTCATAACAATAGCAAAATAAGTTACGAAGTAGCAATGAAGATAATTCTATGGTTGGGGGTCACCACAACAAGAGAAACTGTATCAAAGGGTCGCAGCATGCAGAAGATTGAGAATCACTGCTCTAATCTAGACCTCAGCTTCCTCACCTACAAAACAAGCGTTAGACTTGATGCTATTTCTCTCACTGTCATTTCCCAACCTAAGGCTCAGTGAATCTATCATGAAGTTTCTTCTAGAGGCTGGGACTGTAGGTCAGTGTCAGGGCCGTGCCAGGCCGCGGGTTCAACTTCTGGGGCCAGAAGAGGACACTGGGGACCTCTTCTTGAACCTGAAGTCACTTAAGAATTTGCTCTCTGGGTCCTGGTGGCGGGGACGGCCACGGAGCCCCAGTGAGGTTAACTTATGGATACTCTTGCCTGGACTAGCAACGTATCCTGTGTTTCTTCACTCTCACCAACCTCGGGGACCTAGGATCGCGTCTAAACGACAAAATCCTGGCCCTGGGAGAGGGTAGGGCGACGGGTTTGGTCCTGCGCTTGCGCAGTGTGGTCCTAGGGCTAAGGTCGTGCAGCCCGTCGACCCTTCGCTGTTTATCAAATCCCGCGAGATCTCAAGCTGACAGCCAAGCAGCGGGGACACTGTATCCGGGCACCGGAAGCTGGATGAAGCCCGCAGAAAAGGAGGAAGTTCCGAGCTTGGGTGACCTGTGGGCGTCCTCCTCGAGCTCCCGGCGACACCGGCGGTATAGCTTGGGACACTAGACTAGGGAATGCCCAGTAACAGGAATTCTTAGGGTAAACAGCATGAAGTTTGGGCGCGATTGTGTTGTGATTGTGCTTCAGATTTGACCTTCTATTGAGTACCTGCTGTGTGCCACGCATAGGGGTATACTTCAGTCCTGTTAAAAAGGCGACACGCATTTTTATCCTCTTGGCGCTGAGGATCTAGGAAGTCGGTTAGAAACTCTGGGCAGATTACTAGTAACTTCTGTCAAAGTGGTTAGTAATAGGAGCCATCGAGGAAGGGTTTCTGAGACAGGAAAGAGCCATGTGGAAATTCTCACACGAGGGCATAGATGTCAGAGGGAAGGTCAGCAGAGTCCTTCGTGACAGAATGGTTGAACAAACTACGAATAAACACGAGGCGTGTTTTATTAAAAGGTATCGGGGACAAGTCGTGCGACCTTGGACAAGTCATTCAACCTCTTTATAGCTTCTGTGAAGAGGGGAGGATGTTTGCAACTCCAGAGCGTTGGTGTTTGAGGAGGGAGTTGTATTTAAGCAAGCTAATTAATACGTCTTTATTTTCTTCTGTATTGGGAATTGAGCCCAGGATCATCTTTTCCCCCCTCCCTCATGCATGCTGGGCAAGTGGTTTTTACTACGGGGCTATATTGCCAGTCTGTTTTTCCTTTTTATTTTGGGACGGGTTCGCACTACTTTGCCCAGGCTGCCTTTGAATTTTCCATCTGTATTCCATCTGCCCAATAACTAGGATTATAAATGTACGCTACCATGCCAGAGCATGTAAACTCACCCAGTTTTAGGGGCACCTGGAAACAGGAACTAAGCCGTGATGACCTCTCCAAGGTCCCACTTGGCTAGAAACAGAACACGTTCTCTGCCCTTGTGAGTTCAGTGAGCTCTCTTACAGTTTCCTTACAGTAGGCTGCTACACAGCTTAAGGTATATTTTTATGACTGTCATTGAACCAGATCTTTCAGTGGTATTATTTTGGAATGGTAGCATCAATTGAAAACCCACTTTAATTTAACAGCAAATGGGATTTGTTGAGGTTTACTCGGCTCTGCCTCGATTGTAATGCCTCCTAACCCACGGCCCCTCAGGTCTTGAATGTGACCTGTCTTATTTAGATGGAAAACCTGTGAGTAAAATCGAGGTTTTTGTTTCTGTGGCCCTGGGTTCCAATCCGGGGAGATGCTGAAAGATTTGACTGTGTTGACTGTTAACGTTGTCGAGAGATACTGCAGTTGTCATTAATCAATTAATCGTGTTTGGTACATGGAGATTTCTGATTTCAAGCAGAAATAGAGGGCTAGAATAGCATCCTTTTCAGGATGAGAAGCAATGTTTAAGCAGACCTGGTGTATCCTATTCATTTCTTTCTGTGGTGCAGGGTTAGTAGAGCGCTTTGCCTGTGTTCAGAGATACTTCACCACTGAGCCACATCCCAAGCCTTAGATTTTTCTTTTTCCTTTTTGTACATATAATCTCCCATGTAGTCTAGCCTTCAGCTGAGATCCTCATGCCTGGACCTCTGGAATGCTGGGATTACAAGCATATATCACCATGCTGGCTATATTATACTGTATTATGTTTTGTGACCCGACCCACGGGTCCAGTTATTCGTGGGGGTCGAGAGGGACCTCACCTGAAAGGAACATGGGCGAGAGGGAACGAGACCAAGCAAATGGCTACTTGTCAAGGTCTACTTTAATGCAGAAGCGGCTTACAAGATATACTCTAGGCAAAGGAGGAAGGGAGACAAAGAACAGGATGGGGACTCTATCAACTATCGATAGATAAGGTTAGTCATCCAGCAGAGCATTCTGCAGTTTTTCCTGGAATGTCCTGGGGCAACAGTTCTCTAAGAACAGGAAATTCTTTCTTAGCTGAAGGTCAGATTCTCCCAAAAGAGACAGTTTCTCATTAAGCAACTTTTGTTAGCTGGGATGGTGGTCCAGGGTTGCCAACAGTTTTGGGTTTTGTTTTTATTTGTTTTTTTGAGACAAGGTCTCTCATACCCCAGGCTGGCTTTGATTAGCCTTCAGCTGAGATACTCATGCCTCAACCTCTGGAATGCTGGGATTGCAGGCATATATCACTGTGCTGGCTATATTACACTGTGTTACGTTTTATTTTTTGTTTTTATTTGTTTTTTTTTTTGAGACAAGGTCTCTTGTACCCCAGGCTGGCCTTGATTTTTTGTTATGTAGCTGAGGCTGGCTTTGAACTCAGTCTTCTTGCCTCTACCGCCCCAGTGCTGGATGCAGGTGGGAGGCATCACACACACTTGGCTCTGTTTATTTAGAGAAATAAGGCATAATGCTGAAAGTAGCGAACAAATAATAAACTTCACTGTGTGATGCCTAACACTGACTGTCAGCTTGACAGGATTGAAAATCACTCAGTAGACAAGCCTCAAGGCACACCTGTGAGGAATGGGCTTCATTTTCAGTTAATTGAGGTGGAAGACTCCCCCAAAGTTGGGAGGTACAATTTCTTAGGTTTGGGTCCTAGACTGAATAAAAGGGACAGACCCAGTTTTCTGCATTCATTCTGTTTCTTGACTGTGGGTGTGGTGTGACTGGCTGTCACAAACACCCAGTGTGATGTTTCCATGACAACTGTACCCTTAAACTGTGAGCCAAAATAACCCTGTGTCCCTTAAGTTGCTCTTGTCAGGGTATTTTATCACAGCAACAGGAAAAGAAACTCAGACAGTTTGGCAACAGTCTTTTGAAAACTTAGCCATCACAGTACGGTTAATAATCACTCAAGGACAGTCTGACAGCTGTAGCTGAATAAACTAGCTTTTTAATTTGTATGTGATTTCTATACATGGTGATTTCACAGAAAGTGTCTCTGGCTGGTGTACTGAGATGTACTGGAGTCTGCACCCTGTAGGAGGGTGTTGCAAGGGACACGCTGGAACGCAGGAATTTGAGCACCTAGAAGCCACATCTCAAAAGAAAAAAAAAAAAAAGTTCCCCACGCACTAAATGATGTGGGGACACAAGACATAACAGCACTCCCTTTAAAGATTCCAGCTCCCCGCCCACCCCTATCCCGTCCACCTGTTCCCCCCGCCCCCGTCTGAAGCACTTGCCAGGGTTTAGGTGCAATCCCTAATAGATGGGGAAAGAGAAATTGAATCTCTTCAGTCCTTTAAATCTATCTATCATTTCCAAATAAGAGAAGAAAATAGAAGAACAAGGCAGGTTACTCTGAGGAACCAGTCAGGAGATTCTCCAGACAAAAGAGTGAAGAAACAAAGCAAGGAGAGACTGCAGATGTGGTGTGTGAGTGTTGAGTTCCAGTTCTGGTCATGCACTGTAAAAGCATCCGCAGGCATTCGGGCAGGTGGACTTAGCACTGGGTGTTGGAGGGCAAGGACTGATGTGCCGTTGATTCTGTTAATAATCATTTATTACATAATTACTGTTAACTAGTATTTATGTTGCCAGAGAAACTTAACTGAAGGGTTTTGAGTGCAATGGGATGGAAATGGGATTTGCTTTAAAGGAAGGCTGGAAAATATTTTACCCAGATAAGTTGTATCCCAAGAGAAGATTGAATTTGAGAGCAACTAGCCATTTCTGCCACCGTCCATGAGATTATCCGTGTGTGTGCTAGAGAAACTAACGGAGCCGGTGCTTCTGTATTCTTCATCCTGTCTTACCAAATGTCTTACTAACCGTTACCAGCATCGGACATGTGGTTCATTTTCTTTGTTGGGTTCCAGGTTTCAAGCCTAGGACCTCATACTTACCAGACAAGTGCCCTACCACTAGTCTGGAGCTCCAGTCTGAAACATATCAGATTTTAGAAAATTTATTAGATGCCTGCATGTTTGCTGGCATGTTTGTGACTCAAATGCATGTGGCCAGAAGAGGGCACTGATCCTCTGGAACTGGAGTTATAAATAGTGAACAGCCATGTGGGTGTCCTATGCAAGAGCAGCAAGTGCTCTTAATAGCTGAGCCTTCTCTCCAGTCCATTCTTAATAATTGATTAAGAACAGAATTGGGGCTGGGCGTGGTGGTGCAAGTCTTTAAATCCAGTACTCTGGAGGTAGAGGCAGGCAGGTCTCTTGAGTTCGAGGCCAGCTTGGTCTACATAGTGAGTTCCAGGCCAGCCAGGCCTACATAATGAGACCCTGACTCTAAACAGTAAGGAGTAAACAGGAAAAGTGGAATCATTCTTCTCTAGCATTGAGTACTTGCCGCAGAGTCGGGGTAACAGTCCGTTTGTGATGTCAAAGCCCTGTCTGAGGAGGTAATGGTGGATTGGGAAGTGTGGGAGCCGTGAGGTCTGGTGAGAGCTGTGCCTTTCAATTCCACTCCCGTCCGTTGTCACCTGTGCTGTGGCCTTGGGCACACATCATACTCAACTTCCTTTGTAAAATGAAATTACTTTAATAATGGATATGATTTCTCCACATCTACTGGTGATTGGTTTCATGATCCTATGGATATCAAAATTTGCAGATGTCCAATTCCTTAAAATAAGATGGTCTATTAGTGTATCATTTACACATCTTCCTGTAAACTTAAAGTCCTCTCTAGATTATTTACAATACGCAACACAATATAAACAGTGTAACTAGTTGTTACACTTTGTTGTTCAAAGAATAATGATGTCTGTAGGTATTTAGTACAGAGAGTATCTCTTTTAATACTTCTGAAGATATTGACTGATTGAGACAGAGCCTTGCTGTGTAGTCCAGGCTGGCCTGATCACACTGGTCTCTTGGTTTAGACTCCTGAGTGCTGAGATTCTAACTATCAGACACTACACTGGCTTTTTTTTTTTTAATACTTTCAATCCACAGTTGACTGTTTGGGCACAGAGCTTGCGGGTATGGTACACTCACTGATTGTGTTCATGTCTATTACTTTGTTGCAAGCATTAGTAATGGAATCTTTGCAAAAGTTACCTGTACATTTACCATATCTATAAACACTAAGCAAGTCACAAGTGAGCAGGAAAAATCAACAAAGAAAAATCAGCAAAGCCTATTTGCCCATTAAAAATTAATTATCAACTTACACATGCAGTATGGAAAGTTTCTCTTCTTTTCTCCTTTTCTTTTCCCTTCCTCTTTCTTTCTTTCTTTCTTTCTTTCTTTCTTTCTTTCTTTTTTCCTTCCTTCCTGTCTTCCTTTCCTTCTTCCTTCCTTTCTTCCTTTCTTTCTTTCTTTCTCTCTTTCTCTTTCTCTCTCTCTCTCTCTCTCTCTCTCTCTCTCTCTCTTTCTTTCTTTCTTTCTTTCTTTCTTTCTTTCTTTCTTTCTTTTTTTGGTTTCAGGGTCAGAGATTAAGACCACTGACTGCTCTTCCATAGATCCTGAGTTGAATTCCCAGCAACTACATGGTGGCTCACAACCATCTATAATGAGATCTGGTGCCCTCTTCTGGCCTGCAGTCATACATGTAGGCAGAATGGTGTATACATAGTAAATAAATCTGAGAGAGACAGAGAGAGAGGGAGACAGACAGACAGACAGACAGACAGACAGATTCTTTGTGTAGCTCTGGCTGTCCTGCTAATCAGGGTGTCCTTGAACTCACCGACATCTGCCTGATTCTGCCTCCCCAATGCTGGGATTAAAGGTGGCATTGGTTGTGCAGAGCCAGACAGTCTGGGTTTGAATTGGCTCCACCACTCTGGTTTAATGCTTAAGTCCTCTCAGGTGCAGTTGCCGCATCCTTAAGATGGAGGTCATGGCTGGTGAGATGGTTCTGCAGGTAGAGGTGGTACTGGAAGATCTGGTGGCCTGTGTTCAGTCCCTGCATCCCACAAGGTGACAGAAGCGAACCAGTTCCCTAGAGTTGTCCTTTGACCTGCCCTGAGCACTGTGATGTATGCATACCAGTGAGCATGCTATGTCTACATGAGCACACAGATGGGGATAATGCTGTTAGGTGGTGAGCATGCTGTGTCTACATGAGCACACAGATGGGGATAATGCTGT